TGGTAGAGTCTATGGAAGCCAGGGTTTGGGGAGGGGAGAGGCCTCAGCTGAAAAGAATGCCATACAGCCCACCTTCCAAAGCAGTTATTTTCTCCGGGGGGGGGAGATCTGTTGTCTGGAGTTCAGTTGTGATACCTGGTGATCTTCAGGCTCCACCTAGAGGTTGGTTACCCTAGGCATAGCAGTCAGTGCTTCAGAGCAGGGTTGCCAACTCCAGGTTGGAAATTCCTGGAGATTTGAGAGATGGAACCTGAAGAGGGTGAGGACCTCAGACAGGTACAATGCCATAGACTCCACCCTCCCAACCAGCCATTCCCTCCAAGGGAACCACTGTTGCCAATCTCAGGAGAGGGATGGAAATCACTCAGAATTACAACTGATCTCCAGGCGGGAGGGGGGAGGAGATGCAAAGCTGAAATCAGAGGGGCAGATAATGGTAGGTTGATGCTTGGCTGGGAAGGAGATAGGGTTGCCAACTCCAGGTTGGGAAATGCATGAAGATTTGAGAGGTAGAGCCTGGAGAGGGTGAGGTTTGAGGAGGGGTGGGACCTCATACAGGTACAATGCCATAGACTCCACCCTCCAAACCAGCCATTTCTTCCTGGCTAATAATTGTTGCCAATCTCCAGGTGAGGGCTGGAGATCACTGAAAATTACAACTGCTCTTCAGGTAGCAGAGATCAGTTCCTCTGGAGAAAATGGTGGACTCTGTGTCATTATACCCTGCTGAGGTCACCACAGCCCATTGACACTGAGTGCCCAAGGCCTTGGCACTCTCCCAGAGCCTTTCTAGAGCTCGTTGTATTTATTTCCACAACGGGACTTATTCCTAGTCTAGATTATATTACAATATGCTTTAAGTGAGTTTGCCCTTGAAGAATATCCAGACGCTACCATTGGTACAGAATGCTGTGGGTAGAATGTTGACTGGAGTGGGTTGTAGGGACCATGTCACTCCAGTCTTGTTGCACCTACACAGGCTCTCAATTAACTTCAGGGACCAATTTAAAATCCTGGTATAGATCTTTAAAATCTTACATTACTTCGGACCAGCATACCTTAAGGACCACCTTCTTCCAAATTAACCAACTCAACCATGGTCATCTTCAGGGTCCCTGCTTCTGATGCCCCCATTA